TCCTGTGGTTCTGGATGATGTCCGTATTGTTTTTCTGAGGAATTAATCAATTGTTGTGAGCGGCATTAATTTCCCGGTGTTTATCTCTGCCACCATCTTAGTTTCTCCCTTCTTAACTTCTTTCTGCCCTCTCTCCTCCTCCTCCTTTCCCTCCTGTCTTCCTCCCTTCCTTCCTCCTTTCCTTCTCTTTTCTTTCTCTCCCCTCTTTACCTACTTTTCTCTCTCCGTCTCGTTTTTTCCTTCTCTCTTTTCTTTCTTCTTTTTTTAAATAGAGAAATGGAAACATGCCTTTAAAAAAGTTTTGCCAAGCAGAAAGAATCACTTGCATTTTCTCAGCAAACCACTGCCCGACTTTCCTCATTAAAATTATTTTGAAGCTTAGCATTAGACCTGCAAAATTTATATTCATGGGTTGTTCATGCTATCCCCGCTGAGAGGCAAGAGTTAGCATTACTGTTCCCTAGTTCTAAATGCAGAACTAAAGTATTTACTTTCCCTGTTTTCATTTTGACACAAGAATTGTCTTTTATTAGGTGCTCAAAATATGCCAGCCTAATCCATAGGCAAGAGTCTGTATTAGAAAAAAGCTAATATTATATTTTCAAAATTATCTACTACATGAATCATCTGTTCTAAATTCATTGTGAAAACAATAAAATATTAAATGCTTAGAGCATGGAATAAAATATGAAATTCTTTTTGAAGCTCATGACCCAAATAATGTTTTTAAAAAGTGTTTCTTAAATTTTTTTTCCTGGGTTTTAAAAAAATAGTGTGTGTTATTTCTCCAACTGTCAAGTAATTTAAAAACCTTTCCTCATATATAACTTTTTAAAACCTCCACTCGTATATAATTTAAAAAAAAGCTGTTGTTGGAACTTTGGCAAAATGTATCTTAACTATTTCCAGATAGCTTCCCCTAGAGGTTTTGTATCACTTTCTTTTCCGTTGTGTGATGTAAGTTGTATTTATTAGTATAAATGTTGTTTTAAACAGTAAATTTATTGATATTGATAGTAGATGGCCTAATAGGCCAGTAAGTGCTCCTCTAAATATTTGAAATTGTCGTTTACATTATTTAAATAGGGAATACATGACTTTTGGCTTTCTTTTTCTTAATAGGAAAATAAAAATTAAATTGAGTTTAAATAAATTTTCTTGTTTTTGTAAGGAAGAGAAATGTAGGTAATTAATTGTGCCTTCATGTTTTATCACTATTTCTTTTAGGTGCACAGTTGGATAAGATGGGATTCACAATTCTCAGAAAGTGCATCAGTGCAGTTGAAACACGAGGTAACGTGATTATCTGAGTCATTTTATTCATGAAAGTTGACAGGTATGTGAAATCTGAGAGACGTTTAAAATGCTCATTGCATGGTTGAGTGTCGTAAAAGGAAATACATAAAAGAATGGGCACATTCTCCATGTCAGAGATTCCATTGTTCATTTATTGTGTCAGGATAGGGTTTTCTTTTTCATTTACATACTCCTCCCTGCACTGAAAAGGAGAATCATGGAACAATCAGCAGTGTTGGGCTGCCAATCTTAATCACCTTTTGTTCATGCACTGTTGAGATATTCCCATATCCATGGTCATGTTGGCCTCCATCGAAAAAATAAATTTCTTTGGTGTCTCATTTACATATAATAAAGTTCACTGACTTTAACAGTACAGATTGATGAGCTTTGATAAGTGTATACAGTTGTAGAACTACTGCAATCATAGATTGCTCTCTCTCCTCAAAATCCCTTTGGGCCTCTTTGCAATCAATCTCTATTCCTTCCTTGGCCCTTGGCAATCACTGAGCTGCTTTTTTGCACTCTAGTTCTTTTTAAAAATAGCATTTTATATAAGTGGATTAATGCAGTATATCATCTTTTGAGGCTAGCTTCTTTATTTGGCTTAATGCTTTTGAAATCCACCTTGTTGGGTATATCTTAGCTCATTTTCTTTTTATTGCTAGGTAGACTTCCATGACATGGATGAACTGAATTTGTTTATCCTTTCACATGTTGATAAATGTTTGGGTTGCTTCCATCCTAAATTGAAGGGAAGCTAATCCTTTCCCCAACCAAAAGTTCACAGGCATTTCTTTACAGTCCCTGAGGAAAAACAGGGCTGTGGCACTATGCAGCCCTTCCAGCCAACTTCAGAGAAATAATCTGGTGAAGTACTGGAATATTGAGAACTTAATTCACTTTCATGCATGTACATTCCAGGCCTACTTTGGATGACTTAGTGAGATGAAGCATTGCATTCGTGTTTTCTGTCAAAACAAGGCTTTTGTTATATACAAGCCAGGACTGCTGCCTGTGAAATTAGCGTGCAGGATATGAGCTGTTCTGTGATTTGGGGATTTGCCCATCAATTACAAAGACCTCAGCCACAGAGAGCCTTTTCTTCCACACTCTGTCACAGTGGCCATGGAGGCTCTGACAGTTTTCCTTCTTGTCCACCTGCGCTGAAGTTGAGCTGACAGATGTCTTCATTTTCCTTGTGCTTCCAGAATTTTCAGACTTCAGGAAAATACTGTGATTTTCATATCTCCCACTTCTTATTCATGTTTCTGTTTTTCCTGAGCCTCTTAAGAACCTTAATTGTATTACTTGTATATTTATTATTTTGATAATTAAATTCCTTCCCCCAAAGTTGTATTTTATACATTTTCTGAACAGATAAAAATCTGTGTAGAACTCTTTCTTATTGATATGTGTAGCTTTTGGGAATCTTCTGTACATTGACTAGAACATGCAGGGTGGGGCAAGAGTAGGTTTACCATTGTTTGTGTAGAAAATAATGCACTAATTAATGATAATACAAGAATAAACTCTGTGTTTTGTGTATTCACAACTGTAAACCTACTCTTGCCCCACCCTGTATTTATTAGAACCTATACATATATATGGAATGCATTTTTATTATAAATATATTAAGTTGTTGGATTTTTTTCTTTTTTAATTCTCATCCAAGGATATTTTTCCATTGCTTGTTTTAGAGAGAGTAAAGTGAGGGAGGGAAGAAGCGAGGGAGGAGAAAGAGAGGGAAACATCGATGTGAGAGAGATGCGTCGATTGGTTACCTCCCAAACAAGCTCTGATAGGAGCTGGGGATTGAACCTGCAACCCAGGTACTTGCCCTTGGCCAGGAATCAAGCCCTAGACCCTTCAGTTTGCAGGCCAGTGCTCTAACTACTGAGGAAGCCGGCCAGGGCTGGATGTTTTTAACAGAAGAATGAATCTACACTTTTTAAGTTAGGTTTTCCCATTTAAATATTAAAAAAACACATTTTTTTTCAAATTTTTTGTTCTCTAAGGGCTTCCATTATTAAAGCCTTTTGTTTTTAATGGATTAATAGACTAAAATTAGAGTTAAAGAATCAACTGTCAGATGATATTATTAAAAATTATAGGCCCGGTGCACAAAAATTTGTGCACTCAGGGGGTCCCTCAGCCCAGCCTATGCCCTCTTGCAGTCTGGGACCCCTTGGAGGATGTCCACCTGCTGGCTTAGTCCCACTCCCAGGGGGATTGGGCCCAAGCTGACAGTCAGACATACATCCCTCTGGCAGCCTGGCAGCCCTCAGGGGATGACCACTTACCAGCAGGGAGCAGACCTTAGCTGCAGTCGGACATCCTTAGTGCTGCTGAGGAGGCAGGAGAGGCTCCTACCATCACTGCTCTACTGGTAGACCACCAGGGGGTAGCTCCTGCATTGAGCTTCTGCCTCCTGGTAG